TCCCAGCACTTGGGAGGCAGAGCCAGGCGGATCTCTGTGAGTTCGAGGCCAGCCTGGGCTACCAAGTGAGTTCCAGGAAAGGCACAAAGCTACACAGGGAAACCCTGTCTCGAAAACAAAACAAAACAAAACAAAAACAAAAACAAAATGTGGGTTCTTTGCAATGATTCCTTCATTCATTTGTACTGAATTTCGTGAGTCCAGGGTGAACTTTGTAGATGACAGTCTCTACTATGACAATGTCGAAAGGTTGCAAATGTCTCCTAATGCTCAGGCAGGGGAGTCTTGCAGGAGGAAGTCAGTCACTGGGGGGGGAGGGGGCGGGAGTTGAGGTGTATAGTCCAGCCCCACTTCCTGTCAGCTCTCTGTTTCCAACTCTGGTCTCCATGTGATCAGCTGCCTCATGCTCTGGTTGCCACGCCTTCCGCACCTCAACAGGCTCTATCCCTTTTTAACTGGAAGACAACATAAGCCCTTCCTCCTTGAATAGCTTGTCAGGTTTGGCCACAGCAGTGAACGAGAAAAGTCACTGATACACTGTTCTGGACCCTTTCTACCCACTTCCTTCTTCCCAGCATCATCATCATTTGTCACCCCTGCCCATGTTACCAAGGCACCAGATCTGCTGCCCTTTGGCTCTCCTGGCCTCTCACTCAGACTCCTAAGGGTCCTGCTTTGTGGACTGTTTCTAGCTTTCAAGACTCAGGCTCAGATGCCACCTGCTGCATTCAATGAAGCCCTGGATGACCCTGGTTGGAGAATGACCTACTCTTCCTATCAGCAACGACAGCACTGATACTTCATCACATTCTCCTACGAGTGCCCTCTCCTTATATAGAAAGTGGGCCACTTGCTCATAATCTCTAAATGAGAATGCTGATTGTACCGCCATCCCTGGCAGCTGAGATGGAAGTCTTTGGAAGATGCTTGGGGAAGCACTTGGTGGCCAGCAAGCATTTGCTGCCATCAGTCTTGTCTTTATATCACTTAGCACTGGAATTTTGTGAAAATATTCTCAAGTCTATGAGTGACCATAGAAATACTATGCTACGGATGAAGCAATGCCTGGGCGCCATATAACAGGCACTGTTCTCACATCTTAAAATGTTTCATCCAAACTGGGGAAGTGCGAGCGGAAGGAGGAACCAGGAGTCTTCTTGGAGAGGCCTTTCCATGTGCATGCCATTGTTCATGTGTGAGCATGTAAGTGGACATGCTGAACTTAGTGAGGATGGAAATCATTTCTTCTAGGAATGCTGAGAGAGGTACTGCTAAATTATTTATACCTCTCCCACCCCCGTCTTAGTTAGGGTTTTTATTGCTGTGAAGAGACACCATGACCACTGCAACTCTTATAAAGAAAACATTTAACTGGGGTGGCTTGTTTACAGTTTCAGAGGTTCAGTCTGTTATCATCATGGCTGGGAGCATGGAAGTGTGCAGGCAGGCATTGTCCTGGAGGAATAGCTGAGAATCCTACATCTAGCAGAGAACACGAAGTCAACTGACTCCCTGGGCTGTATCCTGAGCATAGGAGACCTCAAAGCCCACCCCCACTGTGACACACTTCCTCCAACAAGACCACACCTACTCCAACAAAGCCACACCTCCTAATAGTACCACTCCCTGAAAGATTATGAGGGCCACTTACATTCAAACTGCCACACTCCCCGTCAGTGCCTTGTGATATTTTGTTTGTACTCTAACAAATAAAGCTTGCCTGAAGATCAGAGGGCAAAGCCAGTCACTAGTTAACCATAGAGGCCAGGCAGTGGTGGCACACACCTTTAATCCCAGCACTAGGGATGTTGAGACAGGAAGTGATATGGCTGGGCAGAGAAAGGAATATAAGGCGGGAGGAGACAGGAGCTCAGTCCTTTCAGCTGAGGAGATGGTGAGGTGAGAGGTGGCTGTGGCTTGTTCCTTTGTCTCTTTGATCTTCCAGCATTTACCCCTATATCTGGCTCTGGGTTTTTATTAAGACCATTTAGGATCCGTGCTACAGTGCCTGTCCATTGAATTTCCTTGTGTACAAGGAATTGCACCACACACAGAATCTTAGAGCCCTGGATATGTATGGTCTCCTCCACTAAGGCCTTTTTACTGACCTCAGTTTACTGGTACTGAGTGAGGAGGTACAGGGAATGATTGAGAAATGATAAACGCTTGTGTATGACGGAGCAGGCCAGTCTTGAAGTCGACATACTGGAATGCATATGCATGCTAAGAAGCATTTTAGGCCGGGTCTTTGCCTAGCAAGATAAAACTCCAAATTCCTCTCCTTCCCTCAATCCTCCAGCACACCGCAGATATGAAGAAGGGATCACACTTGCTAAGGTCTTGGCTTTGGACAAAATCCTGATGTCTACTTTACTGAATCTAGTACTTCCGGTTCTGATCCTACCATTAGCTAGTGAGCATAACTCCATGAAATCACAGGAGAAGTCTTCACCGGCCATGTAGAAGCAAAGCCTTACAAGTCACCACAGCCCTTCCAAAAAGGGCTTAGGGAAGACAGAACTCTAGAGGAGGTCATTGCCAGGAGAAGGGATGCCAAAGCAAACCCTGGGCGCACTCATCACACCAGCCTATCCCAGTCTTGCTGTCACAAAGATAGAGCATCATCTGTGAAATCCAGCCCAGGTGGCAGGGCCTTGTCACCTGTCCAGTGTCTCTACTATCCAATGAATTGCCTCTGCTCTTCAGGAATAGCCCAGGTGAACGCCGCCACATGGATTCTGTTTCCTCAAAGTACAGAACTGTGCTAGTCTGCAATCTCAAAACATCGGTTTAATAGCTTCGTTCTGCGGCAAGCGGACTTGGAAATGTTCACGGCCAAGCTTAGGAGCCCGCTACTCCTTCCAGCAGCCTGGGAGGAGCTTTCCACATTCACACCCAAGCCCGGGAAGCCTGTGCCTGCTCACAAAAGGACCAGTCAGTCATCCTTAAACAGTCACACCCACAGAGGAAAGGCTGGACAACTCCCAGGCAGCCTTCAGTACTGAAGGCAAGGGAAGAAGCTGAAGAGAAAAGATGCTAAAAGCCTTTTTCGGCCCCCACTGAGAATTTTAAATGCCTTCTCCTCTGGCATATTTGAAGTCTGTGTGTTATCATCTGTTTAACTTACACTCTCCCCCCCTCCTCCCCCTCCCCACCCCGCCCCGGAAGCCTCTGAGGAAGGCTCTGGGTCAGGAGAGCTGAGTCTTTGCATGCCTGTGTATAATGCTGACGGTGCTCTTGGTGTTCAGAGCAGCAGGAAACAGCTCGGCTAAATCAGCAGCAGCAGCCAAGGTGGCCTGGGTCCAGAAGGCACAAGCCGATGGAGAAATGTCCCCTCGAGTTGGTGTGAAAGGGCATCATGTCTCCAGAACTAGAAAGCAATGCTGGAGGAGGAAGGGAATACCAACTACAGATGTCTTCCTAGAAATGAGCACCGGCCACACGCTGGGAGCGTCTAGGAGGAAGAGCCGGGAGGCTCAGCCTCAGGGAACAAAAACTCAGGAGCCATCCTGCTGTTGATGTTGCGGTAAGATGCACACCTCAGGACCACGTAGGAGGGTCCCTTGCTGCCACTGGAGGAGCAGAAACTCCAGAGATGGGATTAGTGGTTCATGCCTGAAATCCCAGCACAGGGGAGATGGAGACAGGAGGATTAGGTCAAATTTGAGGCTAGCCTGGGCTACAGAGTGAAACCCTGCTTCCACAACAGTAAAATCAGCTCCTGGAATGCTTGCGGGAATCATTTATATTTTGATGAGCCCCTTGGGAATGGACAGAATTCTTGACGGACAGGGTTAAGGGACGCTGCTGAAGACATCAAAGGTCAAGCAGGTCAAGCAGTAACTTCTGCTCCATGTCTGTCATGTGCTACACCTTATAGGTCCATTCATTCAGTCTTCACAATAGCCCTGCTGGGTAGGCAGGTATTATCCCCCTTCCTTTTACTGTTGGGTAAACTAAGGCTCAGAGAAATGAAGTGACTTCATCTAAGGTCACAAAGCCACTAAGTGGTTGAGCATGACTTTGAATCATCAGTTCATGGAGATAAGATGGACCGGGAAGGAGAATTCTCCAGTTCCAGATTTGGGCTGGCAACATGGCAAGAAGTCCAGCAGGCACTGGGAATTGGGACATCCTTGGTAGCTATGTGTCTTAGTTAAGGTTTCTATTGCTATGAAGAGACACCATGACCACAGCAACTCTTATGAAGGAAAACATTTAATTGGCTGGCTTACAGTTCAGAGGTTTAGTCCACTATCAACATGGCAGGACATGGTGGCATGCAGGCAGACATGGTGCTGGAGGAGGAGCTGAGAATTTTACATCTTGATCTGCAGGCAACAGGAAGTGAACTGAGACACTGAGTGTGACTTGAGCACATAGGAGACCTTAAAGCCCACCCCTACAGTGACACCCTTCCTTCAACAAGGCCACACCCACTCCAACAAAGCCACAGCTCCTAACAGTACCACTTCCCATGAGCTTATGGGGGGTCAATTACATTCAAACTACCACATCATATCCTATCACGAGCTCTAGCCAGCCCACCATAGTTTCAATTCTCCCTTCTTCTCACACTCCAGATCAAGGGTCAGGACCCGGGTCCTATTTTCTTAATGTTTTTTTTTTTGTTTGTTTTTGTTTTTGTTTTTTGTTTTTTTGCTCAGTCATTTGTATCTTCCTGTTACTAATTTAATGGAGAATGACTTGCCTTCTGGGTTTATATGTCAACCGACCACAACCCTGATTATTATGAATCAGTCTATGAGACTAGATCCAGGGAACACTGTGACCATCCCAACACTCTTCCTGCAGGGAGGGCCTCACCTGATGAAATTGTCCAGCGTCTGTCCCGTGTCCACCTCTCTCTGTGGTGAAGCACTTTTTAGCTCTGAGACATTTTCAATTCTCCAAAATGGTGCACTAGGTATTTGAGTGGCCTGGGCCCTGCATATGAGAAGATGGGTGAGGGATCTGAAGAAAGGGACTGGGGAGGAGGCCCTGTCCCTTCCTGAATACATCCTAAGGGGGAAGAAGATCCAGTGCAAACACTCCCAGAGATCTTTGGGAATCAATGGGATTTTTCCATTCATATATGTAAAAGTTGGGAGGTTTGAGATTCTCTGAGCAAGTTTCAAGCCAGTAGGAAGTCTCATGATACCGAAGCCTTAAGGCAGTCACTCTCTGTGGCTCACACAGAGGACCAGGGAAGGACACACGGTTACCTGGTACTGCCTTACCTCCTGCCCTAGATCAACTCACCACGTGGAAAACCGTTGGAAACTCTGTCAAATGCCAAGTACCCAGTCATTTCAGAAGCTTCCGTTTGAGCAACTGAGGAGATGCTGGAGGCTTTCAAAGCTGCAGCTGACTCGCCTCCATATTCCTGGGCTGCTGGTCTCAAAAAGGAGGTGGCGTTCCCATTGCCATGGGAACATCTACTTTGACTCACCAGCAGTCAACCCTCCAGCTGGGAACATCCTGTTCCTGGCCTGGTTGCATCTCATGACCTACTTCTTGTCTGAGCAAGAGACTCAGTGAGACACCTGGGAGATGAGGTACCTCAACCCCACTGCACATAGCCTGGAATTGTCTCTTTCCCTTTCTAGGAGGGAGCAAGGCATATACTCCATCCAGGGTTGCCATGGTTAAACCGGATGATAACATGGAACCCTCTCTGGTGAATATAGTTTGAGTTTAGCAGATAAAGGACTGTGGGTGAGGCTCGGTTGGTAGAGCAATTGCCTACTATGCATAAAGACCTGGGTTGATTCCCACGCACTTCATAAACCAAGCCTGGTTGCGTACGTGGAAAGTAGAGACAGGAGGATTGGAAATTGAAGATTGGTTTGGGATACATGAGACCCTGTTGTAAAAAGAGAAAAAAAGTTAAGGAGACTAGAAAAGATGGAGTCCAGACAACCCTGCTTCCATGGTTTGTCAGGTCAGGAGTACAGGCCTTTCTCAGAATTGCCAAACAGCGCCTCGCTCTTATCTCTGGACGCTTATCTCCCCGAGCAAACAGCATAATTAGCCCAAAGAAGAGTGACAGAGCAATCAGGCTGGCTTGAAGACAGAGAAGAAAAGAAAGGAGAGTGAGGATCACAGCTGACTGACATCTAGGATGGGTGGGGACCAATGTGCTTCTCACCTCTTTCTGGGGGGGGGGGTGTCTTCACATCTGCTCTGCGGCTGTAATTCCATCATATTTTCCAAGAGTCATCTTTAACTTTTTCTCCCCTTTTCTTCCCATGTCCAATCCATCATCAAATTCTATCAATTTTATCTCTAAACCACGTACTTCTCTCCATCACCACAGGAATCGCTCCACAGCCAAATCACTACCCAGGCAACCACGGTTCTGAGAAAGCTTCCTAACCGCCCTCCCCCCTCTGTTCCTGCCTCCCTCCGACCATCTTCTGCACCGTGCCAACAGGCTGTATTTGGAAAGATAAATCAGAACACCATTTCTCTGCTCAGGGAGGGCTCCCCGCCAGGCACAGCGCACAACCACAGACCCCCTCAGACTGGCCTATGGGCCCTGCACAGTCCCTCCAGCCACACCACGCTGATGTCACAGGCCTGCTTGCCCGGCTCTCTACCATACTGTTACCATGTCACTGGTCACATTCTCCAAGCCACTCTCTTCTCCTCACTACGTCTTCCCCTAATTCTTTCCCACTTGCACAACCTCAGCGCGTCTTTGAGAGGCTGTTTCCTCAGAGGCCTTAGGCCTTCTGAGACTCTGCCCGTATGAGTCAGGACCCATCTTGCTTTCCCAGAGCCCTTTCTCCCCAGCTTCTGTACCCCCGGAACCCATTACAGTCTACTACTAGACAATGATGGTTCCCAAGTTTGCCTCAGCATCACCTGGAGACCTGGAAATGCAAATGAGGAGGAGGCCCCACTTCAAATCCACTCCTTCAGAAGCCGGTGTTGGCCATCATTTGACCTCTAGCTGACCCTCTGGATCTGTGTGATGCCCACAAAGGTTTGGGGACCAGTGCCATCACCTGTGGCAGGTTAGTTCTCTAACTTGGAAAATATTCAGTTTCATAAATCCTCAAAATGATGTCATAAACAGGCGATCTCTCTATTTTTCAGATTTGTGTATATATGTATATGATTCAAATTCTGAGACAGTATCTCACTGAGTAGCCTGGTTGTCCTTAAACTCTTGGTTTTCCTACTCTAGTCCCTCAAGTGCTTGGATTACATGCCTATGCCACCACATCCAGCCAGATTTTAAAATTATATTTATCAAGTTGCTGTGCAGCTGAGGGTAACACTGAACTTCTGTTCCTCTGGTCTCCAATTCTCAAATGCTGGGATTACAAGTGTGCTCCAGATTTTTTTTTTTTCTCAATGAGCCATAAAGAGTATTTTGTCTTACGTTACTCCTTCAGTAGTGGCAAAGCCAAGAATTTTAACCTAGTTCTGTCCAAATAGAATTCATTGTAACCTCAAAGCTATGTTGTTCCACCTGAATTAGAAAGAGCCACAGAGTCATGCGCCACCTCCGGTGTACAGCCAGTGTGTTCCGGTACCTCTAAGCAGATCACTGGTTCTTGGAGACTTTTCAGTGGGCACTACTAGGAATGACCCAGGGTACCTGATACCCCCTGCCCAGATGTGCAGTCTAGCATGTATACCTGCTAAATATCAGAACATGAAAATGGGGTGTCACCACTGTGCACATCTGTTCTGGATCTCAAGTGTTTTTGTTTCAGCTTGGGCTTGGAGATGGCCCCAATAGATCACAGATCCCTAGTGACCCCACTAACATCATGCCAGATACAAGACCACTAGACAAAACGTGGGTTCCACCCAATTGGTTTTGACAGTGTGTTTGGGGTATGTAAATGAGCCGAGTTAATTAGCACGGAGTGAAAGGCTTACCTCTGGAAGACAAATTTCGTTGGACTGTTTCTAGCAGTGGACGATGGAAGATTCTGGATCACATTAGATACATCTGAGGATGAGCCAAATACTTAAAGAAGTTGCTTAAAACCCAAGCAACCTCTCACTAATAGGGTCAGGTCTGCTGTTAGCATTCGGAGCCCAAATTTACTTTTTAGTGCCGGCAGTGGTCTGAGTCTGTGCTGTATTCTACAGAACAGAAAAATAAGGGCTGAGCACGCGTCTCGGTTGGGAGAGTGCTTCCCTAGCATACATTAAGTCCTGGGTTTGATTCCTAACCCCTGTAATCCCAGCACTTAAGAGGTGAAGAAGGAAGTCCTGGGTCAAAGCAAGTTCAAGGATGGAAGAGACCTATTTTGAAAGAAAAAGAGAGAGAGAGTAAGAGAGAGAGAGAAAGAGAGAGAGAGAGAGAGAGAGAGAGAGAGAGAGAGAGAGAGAGAGAGAATGAGTAAGCCACAGCCCTCTCATCAAAACGCTTGTATGTATTACGTGAGGTGAGGGACAGGTACAGAGAGTGTTGGTGAGGTACGGAGGTGGAATATAAGTCACAAGAACTAGCACTTAGGTGGCTCACAGAAGACAGACACTCCAGACACTCCAGGAACCCATGCACAAGATGCTTTCCTGAAGGACGGTGAGGGAAGAGAGAAGGCTGAGCAAAGGTGTGATGGCAAATACATCCCACAGCACCTTGAGCCGAGTTCAGACGGAGACAGAGAACTGAAGAGCAAGTCAAAAGAGACAGAAAAAACAGCAGTCACGGAGGGAAAGGGGGGGTCAAAAGAGACAGGAAAACAGCAGTCACAGAGGAAAAGGGGCAGCTTGCTTTTTCACTCCACGCCCCTGGGCCCTCACCCCACCCCACCCCCACCCATCATTGGATCCATCCGATTCAGGTTCCTAGACCTGCCCATTCCTAAACGTTCCTGAAATCTTCAAGCAGGCCAAGAGCATGCAGCACTCCTTTTCTGCCTTCTCATTTTTGTATCCTTACCAGATGGCGGTAAGCCAAGAGGTCCAGGGTGCTCACTAGAGCTCAGAGAGGCTCCCTGCAAAGCCACGCCTGACTCCCTCTGGCCGCCCTGCAGGAGTGCGCCAAGCGGAGGTAGCATCCTTACCTATGATGCAGAGCTAAGAAAGTGGATGGGCTCTGCTTGGTGAATTGTTCGAACAAGCTTGATGATATTTCCTTTTGTATTATTGTTGTTTTGACCAAAATCCAACAAGAAGCTGGAGGGACGGAGTGTTGATTTTGGTCACAGTTGGAGGATACAATCCATCACGCTGGGAAGGGCACGGCAGAGCTCACGACAGTGAGAGCACAGGGCTGGGATTCCTTACACTTCAGTGGGCCTGGAAGCAGAGAGCAAGCCTGGAGCCCACAAATCCCCACCCCATCCTATGACCCACGTCCTGCAGCCGCCCACTCTCCCAAAGATTCTACAGGTTCTCCAAAACAGCAACACCCACTGAGGAACAACTGTCCAAATAGATGCGCCTGCGGGGGACATTCCACATTTTAGAAGATAACTTTCCATCTCAACTTTCAACAAAACAGCCAAAACTTAATCCCAATCACACAACACACAGAAGGCTTTGGTTGTCATATAGACAATTTTATTGTGTTTTGAATAAACCTACCGCGTTTCCCCAAATACCCCCTCCTTCTGGAAATACGGGCTAGGATTTACCCCGAGGCCCCGTCAGGCTTCCCCAATGTTGCATTTCCCACGAGTGAAACCAAAACCTTTTCAGAATCCACGTCCTGTGCTGCTATTGGAGGGACCGGGAAAGGGAAATCCCCCTTTCTCCCTGCTTTGGGCAGCAGGAGTGGTACTGCCCACCTGTACTGTCTGCATGGATGTGGAAGAAGAGAAGGGGAGGAGATGTAGGGACCAAGCTCTGGACTTTCTGGATCCTTCCTTGAGTCATGTGACCTGAGTGTCTCCTGCTCTTCTGGATGAGGCTGACGGGCCTTGGGTACAGCCGCAGCAGAAGGCAGGCAGTATGTGGTCATCTTAAAGGATGTGTGAGACAGAGAATGCTCAGAATCGGGGAAGCGTAGCTCTCTGGGCTGCTTGGATTCTGTTGCTTTGCCAAGGCCTGGCTCAGCAGGATGAGGAGGGCTGTTCTTGGAGCTGTAACTGGATATAGAAGGTTCTAGTTCTTCTTGTAGAGAGCCCCATAAGATCATGGGGTTTGTTTTTTTGTTATTTGAAACATTCTAGGATAAAAATTTGTTGTGTGTCCTTGATGCCTGCTCCGAGGACACCCCTTATATAAAATTCAATGTGAAACTTTTTTTGCTGGCTTTGGGCTCTGCTCTGGGGCCAGCTGGGCCATCTGCAAGTCTGGGGATTTCACACCTCTTGAGTTCCTCCAAGTCCGGCAACCAGTCACTCAACTGTGGTTCTGCTTTGCTCCTTCTCCATCATGAAAAAAGCCCACCCCACCCCCCATTTGCTCCCAAAGAACTTAGAATAAGTTTCAGGCCAGAGCTAACTAGATTTTCCTAAAACCTTTAAACAAGGAGATATGAAGCCCATTCCCTAGATCAGAAAGTCATTAATCTCAGGCAAAGGCAAATAGCTCTCTAAACCAACTCGGTCATTTGGGGGCCAGGTCAGAAGCACTGGACAGAGACAACTCCTCCCATCCTTAGTTGAAATCTCAGGTTTTCACTCCCCAAGTGAAAACTCACGCCCCCACCACCCACAAGACCCCTAGAGAAAGAGCCTGCTGGCAGATTCCTCCAAATACCAGCCATCTGAGAAGTACCAGCAGGCAGGCGTCTGAGAGGCACCCTGTGCAGAGTTGAGGTTAGAACATCTGCCAGGCCATCGATCCACATCAAATGACAGCAAATTTGCCCATGATGGAAAAACAGGCTGAAGGAGCAAAAAGCAAGTCCACAAAACGGGCATCATGCCCTCACTGCAAAGACTGCTGTGAGGCTACAGAGAGAAGATCCATTGCTGCGTGTCCCTAAAACCCAAGTAGACACCGGGGTTAGTTCTTCCCAAGTGTTGTTTGATTGGTGGAAGCGTTTTAATCAGCTGTGTCTTAGGATGTAATGGATGATTATAAACACTTCCATGCCTTATAAAGGAAAGAGAGACTGAGAGCTGGGGATATAGTTCAGTGGAACAGTGCTTACCTAGCAGGCCTGAGGCCCTGGGTTCATTCCCCAGCATCAGAAAAAAAAAAAAAAAAAAAAAGAAAGAAAAGAATAAGGGTGAAGCCATTCATCTTCTTTATTTATCTTGTCTTTCTCTCAATCCTACACTTCAGAGCTTCAACTGTAAACCCGAGAGGCTTTTCCGTCTTAGTGATAGTCCCTGTCTTCAAAGCCATGATCTTGAGCATGGGCAGATAATATTAAACTCCCTGCATTGAGTGTCCATTATGGGCCACGTGCAATTGCAAGGAAATCTTGGCACAAATTCTGTCTCCATCACTCACTAGCTTTGAACAACTTTTCAGCTTATAAGAGGCATGGTTTCCTCATCTATGAGACTAAAACTTGATGAGGCATTTGGGTGGGAATAAATGTGAAAACCAACACTGTTAAGAGCCCTCTAGACATCCCATAATATTTTATGTTTTTAATATTTATTTACTTATTATGCATAGAGTGTTCTTCCTGCATCCCTGCATGCCAGAAGAAGGCACCAGATGGTTTAAACCATCATGTGGTTGCTGGGAATTGAACTCAGGATTTCTGGAAGAAAGAGCCAGTGCTCTTAACCTCTGAGCCATCTCTCCAGCCCCTCATAATATTTTAAGTGATTTTTACAATTATTTATTTGTGTGTGTGTGTACACATATTAGGACACACCTATGAAGGTCAGTGGACAGCTTGTGGGAGTCATTGTCTTCTACCACATGGGTTCTGGGAATTGAACTTAGGTTGTCAGTCTTGACCAAAAGTGCCTTTACCTGCTGAACCATCTTGCCAGCCACATAAATAATTTTTAATTATTATTATATTTTATTTTAGGTGCATAAGTGTTTCTCTTGCATGTATGTCTGTGTACCATGCATGTGCCTGGTTTCCAGGGAGGCCGGAAGAGGGCATGGAATCCCTTGGAACTAGAGTTACAGATGGGTGAGAGCTGCCATATGCTGAGACTCAAACCCAGGTCCTCTGGAAGAGCAGCCAGTGCTTAAATTCTGAACCATCTCTCTCCAGCTCCATGACTATTTTTAAATAAATGAATATATAAAAGCGGCAATAGCTGATCTTAGTACTAAAATTACATTACTGTAAACTCTGGCCTTGTCTCCTATTAACTGCATAGGCACCATTTGCAGTTGAAAGTTTTTCTGTGTCCTGCCCAGTTCACAGCTGCTCAGATGCAAGTAAACACCCAGAGGCTTATATTAATTAAAACTGCTCAGCCATTAGCTCAGGCTTACTACTGACTAGCTCTTACACTTAAACTCAGCCCATTTCTGTTCATCTACATGTAGCCACATGTTCTGTGGCTTTACCTGTGTGCCATTACATGCTGCTCCCTGGTGGTGAGCTGGCATCTCCTGACTCAGCCTTCCTTTTCCCAGAATTCTCCTTGTCTGCTTATCCCACCTGTACTTCCTGCCTGGCTACTGGCCAGTCAGTGTTTTATTAAACCAATGCACAAAAGCATTATCCCACAGCACCCTAGCACCTTAATCTCAATGAGATTCCTTAATACTACTCATATTGAGGAAAGAGCTTTCCAGAAAAACCAAAAGACACATGCTTTCTCCCTTTGAGACCTCAGCAAAGATGACTTTGTTTCTCTGAACCTTAGATTATTATCTGTAAGGGGAGAGCATGGCATCTCTCCCAAGGCTGTTGTGAGGAGGAAATGAGACTTAGAAACATCAAGCACACTTCGACACACCTAACAGGCACTCTAAGTCTCAGACAGGTATTCCCCTAGGAAACCAACTGTGACCGTAGCCAATCTCAGTGTGGCCAGTGAGGTAGACTGAAGTCTAACAGACAGCGCCCCCAAACAGATGAGGTCTGTGAGCATATTAGTGCGCCTCTTCTACACACACACACACACACACACACACACACACACACACACACACACGATGCCTCCACTTTGAAGCCAGGGGTGATATGGCTAGCTGACCTCTGCATGACATCATCCAAACACAAACAACCCTCTCAGAAGCTCAAACACGAGGAGGAAAATGATGGTTGGGAAAGAGGGATTCATTCTAACCTTCAGCCAGCCTGCTCCCTGTGCAATCTCTGAATAGGAAGACGGTAAGAGCCGGGTGGCTTGAGAGGGTTGGGCAACACGATGATGTTCAGTCTGGCTTTCCGTAACAGCAGGTCTGGTTCTCGCTTATTAGCAGTCTCTCAATGCCCAGGCCTATCATTTGTTCTTCCTCTAATGAATGGATAGGCTGTTTAATTTCCTGATAGGCAACCTAGTAATTTTAGTCTCCCACTCTGAGCCTTTGTCTGGCTCATTCCATGTGTATAAAAACAACTTTCCTCCTCCTGTTACGGTGTGCCGACTTTCCATCACAGCTCGGCTCCAAGGACAGTTCCCTCTAAGGCTTAAGCAGTCTCCCTTATTAGGCACGTGTAAGCCCCAAGTGAACGGTGAGGCTCAGAGCTGCACTCAATCCTGCGACCATCAAGCTGTACTGTGGGCAAGACACTGCACTGTGTACCAAGAACAACAACAACAACAAAAATCCGATACAGTCTTGTGCCTTGAAAGAGCTCATAGCATGTTAGGTAAGATATCTGTGCAAAGAGATACTTGCCAATAAAACCATAGTTCGATGACTGATCTGCAGCAGTTCTTGTCATTGGAGTTCACAGAGAACTTGCTGGAACAGCAGACACGGAAGTCTCACCTTCCTTCAGGTATGGAAGGGTGAGCCCTCCGTTGTATGCGGTCCGTCCTGGGACGAGTGAGACAGACATCTCGTTCCTTCGTCACCCCGTGTTACAGCACATGTCGGCGAAGGAACCAGGGGAGACGAAAGAAAAGGAAAGTCTGGGGAGACAGCTCCGGGGCGGAGACCCTAAGTTTGATCTCTGGTCCTCGAAAAGAGAGGGAGGAAGAGGTGGGGATGAAGAGTTTTTTTTTTTTAAACAGAAACACAGGCACAACCGTAGGCATGAAAATCAGTTTACGGCTGGAGAGCTGACTCAGCACCTAGGAATCCTTGGTTAGTCCTTGCTGGTTCAGGACACATGTTCAGGACATCTGGGAAGAGAGAATCTCCATTGAGAAAATGCCCCCATAAGATTGACCTGCAGGCGGGTCTGTGGGGCATTTTCTTAATGAATGCTTGATGTGGAGGGCCCAGC